TTTTTTTTGTATGTGTGTAAAATCTGTGTCTTTTAGTCTCAAAACTATCTGTTGTGGTCTTTGTTTTATGTATTGCATCTGGAGCATCTCTTTAAATGACCAGCAGTAATCAGCCGTCATGCTGATGTTCCACATTCCCTGATACATCCTCTCAGTTTCCCTGATGTCTTAATAAAACCTTTCCCCTTGTTCTTTGCTAAAGGCACCAAGATTTTTAGGGAAATAGTCAATATGTGAGTGTAAGAAATGAACTTTCAAGCTAGTATTACAACCCAACTCTTTGAATTTATCGAGTATGTTATTTAAAACATATTCTGTTATATTTCTTGTGAAGAAACAAAGGCAAAACATACTGAATTCCTAAAAAAAACAGAAAAACAACAACAACATATGACATATTTTAGAATAACACTTGGGGACCAAGACAAATCATGGGCTCCAGACAAAGTTTGCACTGTTTGTGTCAGAGAGTTGAAACAATGGACTAAAGGTAAGAAAAAGTCTTTGCCATTTGGAATTCCGGTGGCCTGGCATAAGCTGAGAAACCATGGAGATGACTGCTATCTTTGTTCATGTAATGTGCAAGGCTAGAACACTCAAAATAAAAAGGAAATTTCTTATCCAAACCTTCGATCTGCTAAAAGACCTGTTGCTCATGGACCTGTACCTACTCCACCCGAGACTCTTGATACAGTTGCATCTGATTCTGAATCTGATGTCAACAGAAATGATGATTAGGAAATTGACTTTGAACAGTTCGAATGGGAAGTTGAAAAAGAAGCATGGATTGCCTTTAAAAATGTTATTGACAATTTTTTAGGAAACAACAAGGACCCATATTGCGAAAATATTGTCGGTCATTTACACAACCTCTTGTTGCCATAGCGATGAATAAATAATACTGAAAAGAAAAAAAAATGTCAAAGTGCATGCACAAACAAATACTATCCAGAAATGACACGTCATGCATTCTGTTAATCATTTATATACTAGCAGTTTCTAGTGGGTTCTAGAATGATCTGTAAGACTTTCACATGGTGATTGGTCAAGAGAAACCTATAGCCAGTGGTTGTTAACATTTTAAGCATAAGAAAATGTGACATGATTTCCATGAAAATGATTCACTTATGTAAAAGTACATGTGCCATTTTTTGAATAATCTGGATATCTGTAATGGAGAATAATGGATATCATTTTTAGATTCAGCATACAGAAATTACTGTAGAACATGTAAAAATTTCAAAACAATAAAACCATCGCAGGCATTTGTTATTGGTTCGACATGATTCAAAGGGCAATAAGATAATAGAATTTAATTATAAACAGATGTATGCTGTTACAGGATTTAAGCTATTTAGGATAAGTAAATATAGTTTCATGTTACAATACAGGGCTCAATTTTAATGAAATTACCAGGTTGTTCAAAGAACAACCTGGCCTGTATCAGAGGTTGTGTGGAAGGATGTATTGGTTGTTTGAGGGGAATATGAAAAACATAAACCTTCAAAGAAAGATCCAATTACGACAATATTGATGTACAAAGACCATTAAAAAAAAAGACCCAATTACAAGACTTTTGACATTTTATATCTTGTTTCTTTCCAAAAAGTACATTAATGTTTAGTTGGCAATTTTGCATCTTTTATTCAACTAATTTTTTATGCCTTGTTTCCCAGGAAGTTTCATTACATTGGAAAAGATAAGCCCAAACCATGCTAATGTTATATCTTAAGGAAACAAATGGTCAATGACCTATAAAACTTTTAAACAGAACAGCCTACCTCCAAGTACAGTAAATTACATGACTTGCATCAGAACTGAACAGCTAGTTTTCTAATAGTTTTAAATTATCCCAAATAACTTAATTGAAAAGAAACCTGAACCTTGAGTTATCAAATGAGAATGAACCATAGTCTGAGAAATGACTATATTGACTGAATATACTGAAATTTTCAGTTAGTTTTCTAAGAATAATATTCATATAAGCCAGACTTGAAGATAACCAGATTAAACTACCGAAGAAAACTAGCCAGGTAATGTAAAGTGTAAAATAAGCCTGAACCAAACATTATCTAAAGTTATAAACTGTATGAAAAGCTATAGGAACCAGTTATCTAGCACGTATAAAACCTAATGAAAAAAAAAAATGATAGGACTAGTTTACTCTTAAGTTTAAATGTATGAAATAATATTAGCGGTACAAGTACATGTATCAACTTATCAGAAATAGGAATAAACCAAAATAAACTTCATAAATTTATTTTGAAAAATCAGTAGTTTTCAAACTTATTTCTGGGGTATTTTAGGTTTTTTCTTCAGTTGTCAATAAAAATGGGTTTTTGAAGGAAAATTGGAGAATTAAAATTTGAAATGCATCCTTTTTTTTTTTGCTCTGATTGAAAAAAAAAAAGGAATTGATTTGTCAGTTTTACATGATTATTTTTTTTCTAAAGAACAGGGGACATAATTCGTATCAATCATTCAATATTTTTAAGGAATTATAAACTGAAAACAAATAATACAAAATTTATCTTCCATTAAAAATACATGCATTTAAAATTCTGATAATTTCAAGCCAACTGTCCAAAGCTTAAAGCAAGTCAAACAACTTTATGTCCTTTAAACACATTTTAAATCAGCTTTATGAATTCATTAAACTTTTCGTACTTAAAAGTTCAGTGTTTGGTTATATTTAATAGATTTCGATTGTCTAAATCACTTTCACATAATTTGGGTGTCAGATTCCAACTAAGCTTTATGTGCATAAATTGTGCAACAATCTCATGATACGTCACTTCTTAACCAACCCGCACCTTATTTGGGTGTGTATCCTTGTGGAAGGTGTAAAAAAAGAGGACAATTTATTAAATACCTACTTTCTAATCTAGAACAGATTACCAAATGAGGATGTCCCCATTTATATTTCAGCACACGACTTTAACCACATACACCGAAAGTTCGGTGAAATACGTTGCAGTCACACTTTATGTGGGAGAGTATCTTAATGATGTGCGTGGTGTGTTATGTTTGTAGGTTTCATATTTACCTTACCTAAAGTAGCATTCCTTTCTTGGAAAATATTTTGTTCAGTTTGCACTAAAAACTTTTTTTTTCAGCACTTGTAATGGTTCCCACTATAAAACTTTATTTTCAGCTCTTGTAATGGTCCCCACTATAAAACTTTTTTATTTTCAGCTCTTGTAATGGTCCCCACTATAAAACTTTTTTTATTTTCAGCTCTTGTAATGGTCCCCACTAGAGAATTGGCTCTCCAAACCAGTCAGATTTGCATTGAAGTGTCAAAATACATTGGAGCACGAGTGATGGTTACAACTGGTGGGACAAGTTTGAAAGATGACATCATGAGAATTTATGAAAATGGTGTGAATCTAGTACTTAATTGTAATAAATAGAATACATTTGTTAAAGTAGCAGTTGAATCTGGGAAAAAAAAGTTTATTTTGTTTTAAAGGATAATAAGGTAAAGTTCTAATTTTAACAGTACTTGAGAAGTGCAAGACCATTTTATTCTGTTTTAAGGGACATTGTAGTTTTAAAGACACATAAAATTGCCTTAAATAGAACATTCCAACAACAACTAAAAGATAAAATTGTGTGAAAGAGTAAATTTTGTAGTTTATTTGGCAGTTCAGATCTATCGTTGAATTGAAGATTTTCACTATCTTTTATATAATTTAATCTAGCTTGTTTCATTGTAGCAGTCTTTCATAATAAATTGTAATTATGATCCAGTCGACAAATTTCTTTTTTACCAGGACTCTAGGTAAAGGAGTTAAACCTAATTTCAGAATATAAATATTGATTTTTAAATATACGTTTCAGATTAATTTACCTCAAATGTAAGTGTTGTGGCAAGTAACGATTGCATCATGGTTTATTTGGTAATGGTGTTATTCTGCAAGATAATACTTTTGAAATTTAAAACTTGTGATTTCTTTTCTTCTTCCAATTGTGATGTAATGAAACTATCTGAAAGAAATTAAATTTTCCACCTCTGCAAAACAGTAATATAAAATGTTTTCTTTCAGTTAGTATTCCAACTACAGATAAATGCTGTGCTGTCTTAAGTAACTGTTTCTCAGAACTATAAATATTATCTTTATTTTTAAAAAATTCACACCAAGTTTTAAGGAAATATTATTGGACTTCAGATGTTTTTTTCTCTGTTATCTGTAGTAACTTCATTCAAGTTTTTAAACCAAAGATGCATGCCTAATGTAGCTAGTAAAGTATGAAAATTCTTGAATTTATGTTAGTGTGCAGAAATGTTTTCCCAATTTCTGAATTTTATTTTTGTCATACTGTTAATGGATTTCATTCCCAAGTGTACCTCTTTTCTTAAGTTATATATTTGCAATTTTATTTTATTTTACTATGGCCACTGTTTGCTCTTTCTTCTCTTAATGAGCATTCAGCAATAAACCCAGGCTGTGTATTGTCAGGGATAAAAATCATTGTTTGCATTCTCTCGTGTGGTTGGAATGGAATTGAAAAAGTGACAGTTAAATATATCAAAGTGAAATGGACTTAAAGATGAAGAAAATCCTTGAAGAAAAAAATATATGAAGCCTAAACTGAATATGAACTAAAAGAATAAGCCAAGATGAGCTGAGCAAATAGACCACAAAAAATAATTGAACAGGAAACTTTGAAATTACAGAAAGGGAAAAAGCAACTTGAATACCAAAAGGAATGTAGTCTGGAGTAGTATTCAGTAGAGTTTCCAAAGATAAAGATTGACAGGAAAGTCTGAGCAGAAGCAACACTGGAAGACAAAACTAATCTGGGTGGAGAATGTGATAATTACAGATGAACAAACAACATTGGATTTTAGAGGAAGGAAAGGAGACTTTGGTGAGAATTCAAACTAACTGGACTGTCTAGTAATGAGGTGATGGAAAATGTAACTCTAGGTTTCTCGGCCGTGTAATGGAAAATTCAGTCTGGCTGCTTCATAGGTTTGACAGTGACTTTAACAAAGCTAATCATTCTACCAGCAATCTTGGAGGATAGAATGAAAAGATGACTCAATAAATTTACAATGTTGATAGTGTTTGAAAGGTTGAAGAGAAACACCAGGTTGAGCTAGCATGGTGAAGTTGGAAACTAGAAATGCTGTTAGACCACCAATACCAATAAAGCAAGTCCATGAACTTGAATTATCAGAAGAGAAGAGTGGTTGTGAGATAATGCAATGGAAAAAAATGAAACTTGTTGTTGTAGTGTGTTAATTGGCAAAGAGGAAAAAAAAAAGATACAAGTTAAAAATAGCTTACAAACTCTAGGAGCATTATTATAACAAAATATCATTAAAAAAAGTATGATGTGGACCCTGGGTGACTCAGAAATATTATTTTCTCATATGGCATAGCCACCTACTTTTATTTATTCCATGGGTAACCTTCCAAGCCAGAAAGTGCATGTAAAGTTACCTAAGCGTATGATGGGTGTCTAGGAGTAGGTTTATAGGGTTATTAAACTTGAATTTCACATTGCATTTTGTGTTTCTGTGCCCCCTTGGGATCCCAGGGGCACTATGTTTGAAATTATTTTAATACCCTATCCCCTACTCACAAGCTAGTTGGACTAACTTTTTTGTTGTGGTATTGGAACAGACCCTACTTGGGTTAGCTAGAGAAGTAATTCATTTGGGGTTAATGGAGGAGCTTCATTGTAATCTCTGTGAGTCTTGAAAGGAACCTTTGAACCTCAATGTGGGGCATGGGTATTTTACGCCAGTCATTCTGATTTGGTGTAAAGTTTAAGAAATGTTTGATAATATTTACATTTTTCATAATTGTTATAAATTAGAACTGGTATTGTGGTTTATCATAAAATTTACAAGTTACTTCTGAATTTAGAAAATTCAAAGAGAACTATGGAATAAAAATGAGAATACTAATTTGAAAATCAGAAATAGTTTGTCACTAAGTAATATTAAAAATACTCTTCTGAATTATGATTTTATTTTCAGTTCACATAATTATTGCCACACCAGGAAGAATACTAGATTTGATGGAGAAAAATGTGACTCAGATGGATAGATGCAACATGCTAATATTGGATGAGGTACAGACAAATTTGTAGAATGTTGTCCATGTAGATATAATGTAGGAAGTTATTGGTTTAAAAGAAATACTGTTCGCACGTGTACACACACACACAGTTTATGCTAAAATGTATTAACAATGAAATTAAAATCGTTTTAGCTGCTGAATTTTTGTTTGTAATGATAGGTTTGTTACACGAGCTTTCTGACAAAAAGTTGGGTAAGATTTTGTGTTAAAGTTTCTGTGGTTGTAGAAACTATGGTTAATAACATCTTTTCTGATAATGATTCACTTATAGCAGTAATAATAATAATAAAATAATTGAGTTTTAGACAACAATGAATAAGTTGGTGTAAACCTGATTACATCCAACATATACCTATAGTTTTAGAAATCCAGCTGTGAAATGTAAGTTTGGGACTTTTAAATAGTAATGAAACTATTTTTCTTGTATTCTAGGCTGACAAGTTACTATCCCAAGACTTTAAGGGTATGTTGGATAAGGTAATTAGCTATTTACCAAAGGAACGCCAGATTCTTCTTTACTCGGCAACATTCCCTTTGACAGTTGAACAGTTTATGGTAAGTTAGGCATAGTTCCAGTCACTAACATTTGGTTTTTGTATTGCGTACGAGTATAAATATGAAGATGTTTATCTCCCTCTTTCAGCTTAAGGTGATAATATAGCAAAACCAATTATTTTTAAAACTCAAAACATTTGAGGTGGATTGTTCTTTTACGTAATGTGAAACAAAGTTGTAGTTAACAGTATAATTGTAGTCAGGTATAATTAATAATTAAATTTCATCCATTATCAAAACTTGTGATAAATATCTGTAGAGATAATTCAATTAATGCAATTGTCTTCTATAGTATACGTTAGCTAACATGGCACCAAAGTGAGAAAGATGATAGGAGTTGAATGACACTGTAGAAGTAACTTATTTAACAATGAAATTACATTAGACTTAAGTATTGTGGTCAACGTGTGAAAAGAGTTTGCTGTAGACTTCTACTGCCATTTTTATGTATTTCAAGACTTTTTTTGGGCTCCATGCTAAGCCTTTCATCTGTTCTGAAGCTTATGAAAAGAAGAGATAATTAACATAGAACCTCTGCTCAGTTGAAAATAGTGGTATTTGCCTCCATTAATAAATTACATTTGATTAATTGATTGATACAATGTATTTTAAAAGCAAAAACTGTTTGGTATTCAGTACTGTCAGAAAGATGCCCTCCTCCTAGTCAGCAGTCCACCAACAACAACAAAAATATGATTGGCAGCAGGTGCTCCCAAAGACTTACGTGCACTCGGCGGTTGAAAATAAGTAACGTTTGTAGGTGGCTTTGCTATAAGAAAGACGGAGCAAGCAAGTTCAATAACGATACTTTGATTACTTAGATAGTTGGAATAATTGAAAACCCTGCTTTTGATTAATTATTTTACATAATACTAATCAATATAATTGTTGCTTATAAGTAATAAGTTCAATAACCTAGCTCTAGTTGAGGATATTCCCGTGAAGACCGAGCTACTGTGTTTGAGAATATCTCGGTTGTGTCTAATTGTCCTTTTTCATGAAATAATCCTCAGAGGTTTAAAAAATATATATATAATGCTTTATTTCATCTTAACTTCCCCATGTCTGTTATTTTCCTAAAACCTTATAAATGGGTCCATTACAATTTTCTTCTTTTTTTTTTTCGAAATTACAAATTATCTTGTCTATAAATATGATCACCTTTATATCTAGTGAAAATAACTATTAAAGATTACGGAAGAAATAAATAAAACTGGGATAAATAATATAAATATTAATGATCAAAAAGTTTAATTTTTATATATTCTGTCACGTTTAACTTGTTTTAATTTCATTCAGATAGTTGTATATTGATCTGTTTTATTTTGACCTTTAAAGTGACTCAACCACTAAAAATTTTGAAAAGTACTTTTTGATAAATAATTTGTGGTTGCATACCATTATTGAATGATTTATGTTTACTGTACTTGCTAACTAAATATTCTTTCATGATGTACTGCTATACGGAGGGAGATTTCTATAGCTCTCGAATATAATACAACCCTAGTATCAGCAACCAGGAAAACCACCACAAGTGAAGAAAATTCCCAGAACTTAAACTTCTTCAAAAAACTTGCTGAAAGTAATAATTGTCAAGTTGCTTTTGTCAAAGCTGGGATACACTTGTTCATCAAGACCCTAGAGAATGATAATATACATATGAACTCAACCAGTAAATTCATAGCCTAGCTTTTTACACCTCTAAAAGCTTGAAATATACACTATTTGTAATTCTAGGTAGTTTTTATCAGTAGAAATGCATATAAACTCTTGCAACTATCAGCAAAGAAGAAAACATTAATTGCTTAATATGCAGTTTAGATGCTTTTATTTATAAATTAACTAGATAGCCACTGTGATGCTATTTTGTCATTTCTGCTTTATTTTCTGGTATAAATCTTACTGAGATAGGGGAAATTATATTTTTACCGAGGTATGTTTGGATTGATGTTTATCACCATGATCTGATAGTTAGGGCACTTGCAATTTGCGGATTCAAAAATTCTCACCATTTCAACTGTTAGAGCATTATAATGTGACAATAAACCCCACTTTTCATTGGTGAAGAGTAGCCCAAGAATTGGTGGTTGGTGGTGTTGACTAGGTGCCTTCCATCTTGTCCATCACTTCTAAATTAGGGACAGCTAATTCATATAATCTTCAAGTATTTTTTGCAAGAAATTCAATAAACAAATGAATGCTATTAGTGAAAGGGTTAATGTGGAAAAGAATTGCTTTTACAAAAGAAGACTAAATAGTGCATGAAAAGGAGAAAAAAATATTTCTTATACTGACAATAGCATCAAACTTTTATTATTCACATTAAATGATTTCATCTTGTATTGTTGTATGTCATGATGATTTAATGTGTTGTATGGTTTTATTTTTATGTACTCTGTTGTTATATTATTTTATTTTAGTTTATACGTGGTTGTTTTTGATTAAAAAATATTTGTGATAATTATTTTAAATCTTTATTTATATAGAGAAAGTACTTAAAGGGGCCATATGAAATTAATTTAATGGATGAGCTGACCTTAAAAGGTGTGACCCAGTATTACGCTTTTGTTCAGGAGAGACAGAAAGTTCATTGTCTCAACACGCTGTTCTCAAAGGTGTGTTACCATTTTTATGATTTCTGTCAAGATAAAGTTTTAACTTTTGTAAATAAATTATCTTTACAACTGAGAAGTAAAATACTTTCCAGTATTTACTAAACTTTTCCTGTGTGGATTATGCACATACATGCATTTTGCAGCATAAATATTTTTTAATGTATAGAACAGGTCCTGTCAAAAGTGATATTTTTTGTGAAATCATTGTAATCTGTTATTTGAAATGCATATTATAATACGATACCCCAAAATAACAGTTTAAATAATCCACATAACATTGACTGGATGGTGTGCAAGTGATGCAAAAGTAAAAAAAGAACCTAGATTTCAGTAATTCAGCCATTTCTTTGGCTTATCATTTTTAAATATTTATGAAATTTATTGAGTATTGAGGACAATGTAAAAACCTTTTCCCTTAAAAAAAAACAAAAAAAAACAATGAATTTGTCATTTTTCCACTTGTAAGACAAAATTATTTTTCATGTTTGACAACCAACCAACTATTTTTAATGAAGCACAGCCTCATTCATGAGGCATCCCCCCGCACCCATCATATAGCTTTGTGCTTAACAACAAACAAACAAACATGATGGTAATGTCTTGATTACTTGAATAGTCATAATAATTGGTGCTAATTTTAATAAATTAATTATTTTTGTGGCATTAATTGATTAGTTTGGGAAACTAACCAATTTAATCATTGCTTATAGGTAATTGATTAAATTGCTAAGCAGTACTTTTGTCTATAGTACAGTTTGCAGTTACATAATCTCTAAAACATTTTGTGTGTGTGTGTGGTATACTGTATCTGGTATTTACTTTCCTCTACCACAAATTGTCACTAAATCAGTAATGTAGGGTAAAATGAATAGTTGGTATCACTGACATCAATTACATAATACAATGTTGACCCTCACTTGTGCAGTAGGGGTAATAGATTACAACATGAGATAAAAGAGTAAACTAACTTCTGTATACTTGTCTGGTTTGATCAAAGTCTAATATGAATGTACAGCATGATTGTTTATAGATTACAACATGAGATGGAAGAGTAAACTAACTTCTGTATACTTGTCTGATTTGTTCAAAGTCTAATATGAATGTACAGCATGTATTGAACAAATCAGACAAGTATACAAAAGTTAGTTTACTCTTCCATCTCATGTTGTAATCTATAAACAATCATGCTGTACATTCATATTAGACTTTGATCAAACCAGACAAGTATACAGAAGTTAGTTTACTCTTCCATCTCATGTTGTAATCTATAAACAATCATGCTGTACATTCATATTAGACTTTGATCAAATCAGACAAGTAAACAAAAGTTAGTTTACTCTTCCATCTCATGTTGTAATCTATAAACAATCATGCTGT